TCAGTCATTAATTAATTTTAAAATGTTAAGTAAATAACAGAGCAGTCCTCTTACTTTCTTGGAATTGAAATATATCCACCCAATTTTGGGTTATAGAAAATAGATACAGAAGAATTTAAACAAGAAAGTCAATAGTCCACAATTTTACGGGTCAAGGAAATCTTGAAGTCACGAATATTGATTTTTTAAAAAACAATTGAAGCCACAAAAAAGAAAAAAAAAATGATTTGATTGAGTAGACTGAATTTATCACGTGTTCAAGAAACAGGACCATCAAACCTGCTTAGAAGTTTCCGGAAAAGTTTGATTACGTGGGCTGAGATGTATTAGTTAGAACTTTGTGTGCCTTTTTTGGTATTTTTAATTAATTGTTTGTAATTCTTGTAATTTTTTCATGTTCATGTGCACGGTGACATCAACGCAGCTCGGGTCTAAGTCAAAAGATCATCATACAACTTGGAATTAAGGGGAGGAGAAAGGCAGAAAATTTTCGTCACCGTCGTCCGTAGTAATTGTTCTGATTTTCTTGCAAGGACTTTTACATCAGTTAGAAACAAGGGCCAAAATTGGCCGGTTTCAATTTGGTTTGATCCTGATTTGGAATTAGAAATTTATTATTGGGTCGATTTTAGATTTTTAAAATCATAAATTTAACCACCCAAAATTCGAAATCGGCTGATTTTAAGGTAAATTTATAAAAAAATATATATGTATATATATATAATATATATTTCAACAGGCAGCAGTTTAACAAAAAATAAATTTTTTTACGGATATTGGCCTATAAACTGGAAATAGACTATTTTTTGTAGTGATATATATAGGTTCTATGTGTATTTTTTTTTCTTGAAGAAATTATTTTATTATTTTAAATTGAAAGAATATTTAAGTTTTTCATAAAAAATAAATAAATTTATAAACCATATAAATATGTATAATTCAACGAAACTACACTGTTATATTCCTTCATAACATGACATAAATATCATATAAAACAATCAGGATTACTATAACATAAAAGTATGAGGTCAAACATGGAATTTAACCAACTTCTCCAATTGGGTTAACTTGGGTAGTTCTCATATGATAACCAAGAACTTAACCCAATTAGACCAAATTCCAAAATGACCGGGAACCATTAATTATCTCTAATTATGACCCTCCCTCCCCCCCAATTTTTTTTTTTTTCTAAAATTTCACCTTTATTTTCTTTACTTCTATTTTGATGTATATCAAAAATTCATTGACAAAGTTAACTGTCCTAATTTTGACTTTTTAAAGGGCTTTTTATAAAATTGAAGTTGCATTTTAGTCATTCTTGGGTGATTTCGTAATTCTCAATAGGTCATAAGTGAACTAAAAGTTGAATTTAGAATACATATTATATTATGAAGTAAAGAGTAAAAATGGAAAAAATAAAAAACAGTATTTTACATTATCCGTGGAAGGACTAAATTGCAAAGATAATTTGGAAGTCCACTACATAAGAATTGATTGAAAACGGTATCCCAATTTAATAGTTTTTCTCTCCACCTTAGCTCCAAATTCTCCAAATTTTAGAAACATCTCCCCTTAAAGTCTAACACGACCAAGCTATTTAGAGGAAAATAATTATTTTTCTCTTCTTTTCTTTTTATTCCTCGTCATTCTATCCAAAAAAGGTGTACCAAAAAATAAAAAAAGAAATATTCAAAAATTTTTAGTAAGTAACTTCCACAAAAAAATTATTATAATTGAGTGCCTGTTCATTTTTATTCTTGCTCTTACGCGCTCAAGTCATCTCCGTCCACCAAATGTGAAATTCTTACGCGCTTAAGTGCTCTCCGTCCACCAAATGTGAAATTCAATAAATATGGGTAAATATGAACTAAGATCTAAAATTCAAGGCATACTTGACAACGGCACGTTTGCCCACGTCGACTTTCAAACTGCAGTTAAAGTCACCACAACGTTAAAAACATTTATTATAGCTATATATTGATTAATCATCCGGGTTAGAAGGAAAAAAAAAAGTACTCTGTCAAAAGTATTTTGTATTTTAAAATACTTTTATTATTACATAAATATATATATTTATAATTATATAGATGTATATTTGTAATAGATACTTATAAGTTACAAGTATATATAACTATACAAATACATGCTTGCACGGTTATAAGTAAATATTTGTGTAATAATAGTATTATTTTGAAAATATAAAATATTTTTAACTAGACAATTTATTGTTCTTTTCACCAAATTATTTGACTTAGTTTAGTTGGTAAAAATGCATATTTTGCCTGAATAATATTTTGTCGTACATAATTTAAAAAAAAAACTGTCAATTTCTATCTTTTTATGAAAGATCTGATAAAATACATATCTTTTATAATACAAGTATACGTATACGAGTTATACTCAAATAATATTTTCTGTACGTAATTATTTTTTTTATTTTTATAAGAGTTTGGTAGGATTATTGTGGAAATCTTCTATCAATTTTAAAAAAATATATATTTTGAATTTTTTTAGTTCCGTAATTTTATACCATGTGAAAGAAATTAAATTAGTTTTAAAATTATATAAATAAAAAATAAATTATCATAAAAAATACTTGACAATCTTGTATATATGAAAATAAATACAATAAGAGTAGAAAAATCTTTTAATTTGGAAAAATGAGATATGAAATCTATCGATTTGAACAATTTTAGTAAATTTTTAGATTATATTATTTATGAGTTAATTTCATGAAAATATTTACCCACAAGATTTAATATTTGAATATTAAGAAATTACTACTAATATCATTGACAAAAATAATCTAAATTGGTTGAACATTTTATTTTGAAAGTATTTGATATATTCATTACACTATATTGTTGAAATTTTTTGTATTTCTAGATTATCATTAATGATAATTGATGTTTTCAAACTAAGATTTGGTGTTTAAATTTTGATATACTTGCTTATTTTAAAGTTGGGTGGGTACATAATTTTACTCGATCTTTTTAGTTATTAATGATTTGTATCGTATCAATACAAGAATATATATATATATATTAACATATTTTATTTATAAATCATTATATATTTTGAAAGAAAATGGAATTAATATGTGAAAAATGTATTTATACAAAATTAAATAAATGAATGAAATAATGTATTTTTTTATTTCATATTTTTAAATTATCTGTAATATAATTATATTTTTTATATAACATAATTTTAATAAATATGTAATTTTTTTGAATAATTATATGTAACTTTTATCAATATATATATTATATTTATATATAATAAATATCATAATTTTTTATCTCATATTTTACTAACTAGGCGACTTAGTAATTTCTTCTATTTATCATTTTTGCACTTATGGGCTTGGTCTTTCCTTCCGCGTGATACGAAGGTCAATGCATACAAACGGGTAATATGAACCAAGGTTTAAAATTCAAGGCACGCTTGAAAATGACAAGTATGCCCACGTTCACTTTCAAATTCTAGTTAAGGTCACCGCAACATTAATAACATTAATTATGAAAACAGCAATCTTGAACAAGCAAGAATATGTCGGCGGGCATTCAAACCTAAAACGGTCTTTTACCTAAATAAAAAATAAATAATTAAATTTGAGGTTTGCAGGCATCTAGAACAGGCCCCCACTTTTTCCCTCTTGGCAGTGTAGACCATTGCAAGGATGACGGTTTGATTATGCTGTCTTAAAACAGGAGAAAATTATTGCATGCCCACATATATATATATATGTGTGTGTGTATATATTATCAGGGAAATATATTTTAATATTAATTAAAATTAATGTGATTAGGGTTCAGAAGTTTCTCGCTTCACTCTTTTAGACAATTGCTGGACCAAGTCGGAAAGGGTATAGCCGTCAAGATTATATTATATGGATGGTGGAAAATAAGTAAATATAAAAAAAAAACGTTGAATTTTTCATGCTGCAAATTTGTTATCTTGTGTTTTCTTCTCCGTTGTGTCCTCGTGTTGGAGGTTTTACTAGTGGATGTATTGACCATTAAAATGGACTTCCATCTAGAAATTCATATCAGTAGAGAGAGAAAAAAATCTGGGAAATTGGTGATTTTTGGTGGGTATTAAAGAAAATCAATTTTCAAAATTTCCCAGTTCAGTATTTTTCAATAAATATATAATAAAATAATTTTTGTGGGGCTTATTTATTTATTTATTTTGGGAGGGACTTTTTGGATAAAACAAAAATTAAAATTTAAGAATTAAATTTTTAAATTTAAATCCTTTCCAAACCCTTGAAAAATTGAAAGGCAAACATCCTCCAAGGAAGTCATGGAGTTGGCTAACAGGTCCAGCAGATTGAAAAATAAATATATAAAAACAAAAATGTAGTCAAAGTCCAGCAAAACTTCCTTTTCAATTCCATAATAGGAGTGGAAGAAAATACACGAAGAGCATGGAAAGAATTTAGGAAATTATAATATTTTTTTAATTAAAATAATAACGATTCAAGCACTCATCTCATGGTCAGTCTTTCCATGCTCTCCCTTCCCCAGTAATTTCTCCCCTCTACAACTTCCATGTCAAGGTCTTACACCTTCAATTCAATCCCTCCACAGCTTAGAGAATAAAGACTTGTATATATCTCACCTCCAACCTCATTTCACTTCCATCAATTACTCTCTCCCTCTCCCTACAACTTCGCGGAGAGTCTCCTGTAAGTTGCTCGGAAAAGGAAGATATATATATAGGTGTATATATATACATACAAACAGCTAGAGATAGAGAGAAAGAGGAGATAGAGAGTGATGGCAGCCAAAGGGGGTCGAACTCTGGAGCAGACGCCGACGTGGGCGGTGGCAGTTGTGTGCTTTGTGCTAGTTGCCATTTCTATTGTCATTGAGTACATCATTCACCTGCTTGGCAAGGCAAGTATATGTACAAAAACATATAGATAGTGATTTTTCTGATGAATTTATTTTATTTATTTATTTTTTTGAATCTGAAAACTTTCGTCTTCGCAGTGGCTGACAAAGAGGAACAAGAAGGCTCTCTGTGAAGCACTTGAAAAGATTAAATCAGGTCAGTTACCTTCATTTATCAACTACTTGTATCTTCAGAGTTCTATCAAAATCAAAACCGTGAAAATTAATTCGTATTAATCAGAATTTTGTTATGGGTAATTATATTTTTTTCCTTTTTATTTATTTATTTCTAAAAATAAGAGAGATAAGAGCTATCACATATACTTGTAATATTCGGAGCAGAAACTTATATTGTCTCTCTTTCATCTCCCGCTGTATCGCAGAGCTTATGTTGCTGGGTTTCATATCGCTGCTACTAACGGTAACACAAGGGCTCATTTCAGAAATCTGCGTGCCAAAGTCAGTTGCTGCCTCGTGGCACCCTTGCAACAAGAAGCAAGAGGAGAAGAAGTACGGCGGTGACGAAGATTTAGACACCGGCGAGTATTACGACCGGAGGAAGCTTCTTTCTTTTCTGGGCTCCGGCGAAAGTCATCGCCGTGCTTTGGCCGCTAAAGACTACGACAACTGTGCTAAGGAGGCACGTAAATACATACATACGATTAAAATTCCAAAAAATCCAATAAGATTTTGTCTTCGTGCTGCTAAAATTCCTTCTTTTTCCACGTGGGTCTGCTTTTTTTTTTTAATATTTTTTCTGTTGGAGTTGGAATCTGTAGGTCATATTAACTCGAGGTGTTCTAGTGAATTAATTTAATTAATTAAGGATGAGGATTAACCAAACACTCCTTCTCATGGCGTGTTTGGTTGGGTGGAATTTGTGCAGGGAAAGGCTCCGTTGGTTTCCAATTATGGTATCCACCAGCTCCACATTTTCATTTTTATGTTGGCTGTTTCCCACGTGCTATATTGCATTATCACTTTGGCCCTGGGCCGAGCAAAGGTATTATTCCTCTCCATAATTTATTAATTATTTAATTTATTTGCATAGATATTAAATAAATATTTTTGCTAAATGCAGATGAGAAAATGGAAAGCTTGGGAAAAGGAAACAAAGACAGCTGAGTACCAGTACACACACGGTGAGTCGGGTTCTCAAAATTTCATTTTAACGATCTACGTTAATATACTCGGAGCATTTTGATTAGGGTTGTCTATTGATTAAATTTTATTTCGAATTTAACGTAAATTTGATTTAAAATTTAAAATTTAAATTTAATTAAAATATTTAATAGATCAAATCTAATAATAAATATTTTAAATTTAAAATAAATAGATTGGATATAGAATTAAGAAATCTGATTTATTAAGAATCTAAATTTGAATTTTAATAATATTTTTAATTAAATTAATAATTTTTTATATATAACATTAGTAAATTTAAATTTGTAGAGACTAAATTGAAAAAAATTAAAAAATATAATAACTAATATGATTGATAAAATAAAGTTAAGAGATTAATTGTAAAAGAAGATTATTTTTTTATCAGATCGGATTTTCTTAACAGATTTTGGATTATCTATCAGATTTAAATATATTTTAACAAATATTAATCGTATAGTATTTCGGATTAGATTTGAATATAATAATAATTAATCAGATTTAGATTCACAAATATCTAATTTGATTCAAATCTAACCCGTTAACAATTCTAATTTTGAAATATATTGTGTCTGTTGGGACGCATAAATAAATATATTTTAATTTTAAAAAAATTTAAAAATAAAAATTATTTTGTAGCCCTTAAATCTTTCACCTCTATCCTACTTACCCATAAATTCGGTACTATACCATTTATCCCCTTAAAACTAACGTCATTAAACTGACTACTATGATTACCTTTAGAAAATTTCTAATCTTATTATTAAAATAGTTGTTGTTAAATTTTTAAAATTTAATTTCTTATATTTTTAAATGTATTTAATTTTAAATGTTAAATCAAAATGTGACTAAATTTATAAAATTAATTTAAATTATTTACACAATTTCACTAAACAAAAAATTGTCAATTAAGAATGAATAATTTAAATTTAATAAAAATTATTCAAGATCACAGTTTGAAACCTAATCATCAAATCAAATCAAATAAGTTTACATTTATTTAGATGGAAAATCTTATCTTAGTTTTTACAGTAGTAAAAAGTATATTATATAATTTAAAGGGTAATCAGGATGGAGAATAACTATTTCCAAGGAATGACAGTTTCTTTCTTTTGGAAAAAAAAAAAGGACAAACGGGCTAATAAAATTTCCCCAATCTTATTATTTAGAATTTAAATTAATTTCCATTTCTACTCAAATTTGAACGGTTTATTTGATAAATTTAAAATGGTTTTTTGGCGGAAAAAAAATTATTAAAACATATAATATTGTCTACTTGCAGATCCAGAGAGATTCAGGTTCACAAGAGAGACTTCGTTTGGGCGAAGGCACTTGAATTTCTGGAGCCACTCATCCTTTCTTCTCTGGATAGTAAGACTTCCACTTACCAATTTTCATTTTCATTTTCATTTTTTTTTATTTTCAAAAAAAAAGAAAAAACAATAAAAAAAATGCCGGTTTTATTGGCAATCTAACAGCTGCTTTTTCAAAGTGTTTGGTCCGCTTATTTTCTTTGAAATATGACTTCCAGATCATCATACTTGTTCCTAGTTACCTCTCACTAGCCCCTTTGACTGTTGAATATTGACTAAAGATGGCATTTCATTAAGTGCGTCTAATCATGATTCTGCAACATGTTTTCTTTTTCCTTTTGTGGATTGAAAATAGAAAACGGAAAAACTAAAAAGGAAAAGAGGTTCGATTTCTATAACAAATTTCAGGAAACAAGTCTGGTTCTATGAAAACAAAAACTGTTTTTGAAATTCTCGTTATTTTCTGTTTTCGGAAAACAAATTCAGCAACTGCCTGCAAACAAATTAATGAAGGTACTAACGAATACCAAATTGCAGTCGTGTTTCTTCAGGCAGTTCGTTAGATCTGTTGCCAAGGTTGATTACTTGACTCTCCGCCATGGATTCATTGCTGTAAGTCTCAACCCCTTTGCTCAAAATAAATAAAAACTCTCAACCCCACTATTATTATCAGTTTAAGTTGAGACTTTCTTGTAAATGGAAGGAAAATAATGAGTTACGAGCAAATTCTTTCGGGTAGAAATTTTGATTCTGAAATTGTTTCCGAAAACAGTTTTCTATCTTTTGAAAACAGAGGGAGCACAAGCTATAATATTGTCACTGTCCAGGATGTATTTGATACGAGTGTAAAACAGATATACTTAAAAATAGTTATATTCCAGGCACATTTAGCACCACAGAGTCATGCTAATTTCGACTTCCAAATGTACATCAAGAGATCACTCGAGGAGGACTTCAAGGTGGTGGTAGGGATCAGGTGGGACTTCTGCTGAGCCTCTCAAGTTCTGGAGCTAGACAAAACAAATAAATAATATATCACTTCAAGTACCATTAATTTCTCTTTTTTTTTCTCTTTGCAGCCCTACAATTTGGCTTTTTGCAGTGGTGTTCCTACTGTTCAACACCCATGGTAAGCAATTGCTTAAAAAATTCAAATTTAATTTCAAAGAGATCAACTTCCAAAATCCAGGTTTAGAAATGGTTCAAGATGCTAATGGCGGGACTTTCTGTACAGGATGGCACTCCTACCTCTGGCTACCCTTCGTCCCCCTGATTGTAAGCATTATTTCCACATAGTACTCCAGTTCACTTTTTCTCCACAGTCGTTCAATGATTAAAATAAATGGCCATTGATATGGCCTCCTACACAGATTATTCTTCTGGTTGGAACAAAGCTCCAAGTTATCATAACAAAGATGGGGTTGAGAATCCAGAAGCAAGGGGAAGTGATCAAAGGAGTCCCGGTGGTTCGGCCCGGTGATGAGCTCTTCTGGTTCAACCGTCCCCGCCTCCTCCTCTATCTCATCCACTTCGTTCTCTTTCAAGTAAGTTTTTCACTTAGTGAAATTAACCCCCCCGTGTAGGAATTTACAGTTTCTGTAATTCTGATTTTGTATATTTTGCTCTTGCAGAACGCATTCCAGCTAGCCTTCTTTGCATGGGCATGGGTGAATATCATACGCCTCTTCATTTTTTATTTTAGTTGTTTACTTATTTTTCAAATTACCTTCTGATAATTCCTTTTCATCTGCAGTATGAATTTGGCCTACATTCTTGTTTTCATGAAAAGTGGAAGACATAGTCACCAGAGTAACAATAGGGTAAGCAATACTTTGAGCATATTCAGACAGATTTGCATGGAAAAGAAATCCCTTAATGACGCTAGCGTTGTAATTGTGATTTTTCAATAGGGTCCTAGTACAAATAATTTGCAGCTACGTGACTCTCCCACTCTATGCCTTGGTCACCCAGGTGAGAGATTCTGAGATCAACAATTCAACTAAATTCGCGTAGATTTTCATTTAGCTTCGATGATCCAATCCTGATTTCATGACTATTTTCTCCATCCCTAAAACATGAAACAGATGGGTTCCACCATGAAGCCTACAATCTTCAACGAGAGGGTAGCCAACGCTCTAAGAAACTGGCACCAAACGGCCAGGAAGCACGTAAAGCAGAGCCACCGCTCTGGCTCGGTGACTCCATTTCAGAGCGGACCGGGTACTCCTCTGCATGCCATGTCCCCAGTCCACCTGCTGCGCAACTACCGCAGCGATATTGACAGCACCTTAGTGTCTCCAAGGGCTTCCAACTTCAATAATGAGTTTTGGGAAGGTGGGGGCTCAGCCTCTCCCTCACACCACCATGAAGTTCAACGCGCTAGAATCAACGAGGCTGTGACCAACCTGAGGATGCAGTTCAGCTGGAGTTGAAAAGCCTGCGGTCAAGCCCTCCAGAGGATTTACAGCACAAAATTGACATTCACCCGAATAGGTCCAATTTGAATGAAGGGCAAAGATTATGAGCGGGAGAAGTACGGAGCTTAGGATGAACCCAAGAGGTCATCTAAACCGTGGTCACAAGTTTTCTACGAGTCATAAGTTAGCTTTGGCACAATTACATCACCTCACATTATAAACATTCACATATTGTTTGACTATAAATGGGCATTCACATTAAAGTCTCGATCATAGAAGTCTAATTCACTTGATAAGTACTCATAAAGATTAGCATTTCCGGCGACAGCAACTATGAAACAACCAAACTCTCACCTCTAACAGGGTTGAGATGGTCAATACTTGCCAGATGAAATTTTAACTTCACACCATCACCACAGCACCTACCCAATAAGACACAGGCAATGCTTTCGCTTGGCCTCACTCCAAGCTAATGGCATCCTCCTCAACCCCATCCAAAACAATCCAATATAAACAAGTAAAGTGATTTGCACTTGACTGGCTTTTTACCTAATACTTGGTTTTGATTGTTCTAATCTTATGTCTACTCAACTGTTAAGTCCCTCTTCGCATTAGCAAGTGAGATATCACCCACCCTTTAAAATTATCACAGATTAAAGAAGCCATTGCTTGCTGTAAGGATGTAACTTTATACCCTTACCACAACTGCATCCCCAAGAAACACATAAAGGTAAAGACCCATCTCTTTGCAGTCAACACTGCTCATTAAGAATCGCATCCAGCCGAACCGCATGAGAAACAATCCGGCACACAACTTCCATGGATTGCCATATTTAATCGCAGTTATTCTACGGCATCATTAATTATTCCAATTAGGTTTAATTAGACTATCCCACTAAACAAAAGTTCAGGCAACAATATATCATAATAACTAAATTAAAACAAGCCAAAGACACATAACTAAAGCAAATTCCAAACCAGTTCCACATTATATTGGAGTAAAAGCAACACACACATCCAGATAACTGAAGGAGTAGTAGTCCAAGAAACTATTAAACCACAAACAAGTTTAAGTCAAAATAACCAGAGCTATTACACAACGACCGGCAGAGAAGTAAACCACAAAGGGAAAAAACTCTTAGCTTTTTCACATATCACCACCACGAAGACGGAGGACCAGGTGAAGAGTCGACTCTTTCTGGATATTGTAGTCAGCAAGAGTCCGACCGTCCTCCAACTGCTTGCCGGCAAAGATCAACCTCTGCTGATCCGGAGGAATCCCCTCCTTGTCCTGAATTTTTGCTTTAACATTATCGATCGTATCCGAGCTCTCCACCTCCAGAGTGATTGTCTTTCCAGTAAGAGTCTTCACGAATATCTGCATGCCTCCCCTCAACCGCAGCACCAGATGGAGCGTGGACTCCTTCTGGATGTTGTAATCAGCGAGTGTACGTCCATCTTCGAGCTGCTTCCCAGCAAATATCAGACGCTGCTGGTCCGGGGGAATTCCTTCCTTGTCCTGAATCTTCGCTTTAACATTGTCTATAGTGTCGGAGCTCTCAACCTCCAAGGTGATCGTCTTCCCAGTGAGCGTCTTCACGAAAATCTGCATGCCTCCCCTCAATCGCAACACCAGATGGAGTGTAGACTCCTTCTGGATATTGTAATCAGCCAGAGTGCGACCATCCTCGAGTTGTTTGCCTGCGAAGATTAAACGCTGCTGGTCCGGCGGAATGCCTTCCTTGTCCTGGATCTTCGCTTTGACATTGTCGATGGTGTCCGAGCTCTCAACTTCCAGCGTAATTGTCTTCCCAGTGAGTGTCTTGACGAAGATTTGCATGCCGCCGCGCAGACGTAGAACGAGGTGGAGCGTCGATTCCTTCTGGATATTGTAATCGGCGAGAGTACGGCCATCCTCCAATTGCTTTCCGGCGAAGATCAGACGCTGTTGGTCTGGGGGAATACCTTCCTTGTCCTGGATCTTTGCTTTGACGTTGTCAATTGTATCGGAGCTCTCAACCTCTAACGTAATTGTCTTCCCGGTGAGAGTCTTCACAAATATCTGCATACCGCCGCGGAGACGGAGGACGAGATGGAGCGTGGACTCCTTTTGGATGTTATAATCGGCAAGAGTACGTCCGTCCTCCAACTGCTTCCCGGCGAAGATCAGACGCTGCTGATCGGGGGAATACCTTCCTTGTCCTGAATTTTAGCCTTCACGTTATCGATCGTGTCACTGCTCTCCACCTCCAGCGTGATCGTCTTGCCGGTGAGGGTTTTCACGAAGATCTGCATCCCACCGCGTAGACGGAGCACAAGATGAAGGGTGGACTCCTTCTGGATGTTATAGTCGGCGAGAGTGCGTCCGTCCTCGAGCTGCTTCCCGGCGAAGATGAGACGCTGCTGATCCGGGGGAATCCCTTCCTTATCCTGGATCTTCGCCTTGACGTTGTCAATCGTATCGGAACTCTCGACCTCGAGAGTGATGGTCTTTCCGGTGAGGGTTTTCACGAAGATCTGCATCTGTTAATCACGCACACCACAATTTATCAGATTCACTAATCCGTCTACCCACGTTTCTCGGATCCAATCACAGCAAGAACAAAACATCTAAATTAAAAACGTATATAGCGTACCTTAGGAGGCAACGAGAAGCTCTTAGCGTAAGCGTCAGACAATAGAAAGAAAAAGAGAGGCGCAGAAGAACTGTACTCGTCAATTGAGTACCAATGGTGGAGGGCGATGTACAGAGGGTTGGAAATTTATATAGGAAACAATAACCGACCTAGGGACGAATAGGAGTGATCCGGAATTTACGAGAAAGTCCTGGTCAAGCGTCAAGAAAGGCGGTGGACGCAGCCACGCAGGCAACGTGGATTTCCCACCAATAAAAAACTTCTATATATATATATATATATATATATATATTTTTTTTTTTTTTTTTCTGGCCAAATAAAAAATTCTATTAATTTCAGGCCAGTAGATTTTTTTATTATTATTATTTCGTTTTGAAAGGCCTTGCTTGTTTTGCTTTGGTTATTTTCAGCTTCTCAGAAGGCGAATTTTATTTTTTTTAAATAGAAATTTTCTTGATTATTAAAAAAAATTATTCTATAAATTAAACAAGCATGTAGTAATCTGTCAACAAAATAAAAATATATAAACGAGAATTGGTCTAATTACTTATTTTTTATTTTTATTTTTTGTTAAACGAAGGGTAGAGATGGGCAATCTTTTTTGGGGTAATTTCAATATAATCCTTATTAAAAAATTGAAAAAGATTAATTTATTTGATTAATACTAATTAATCACCCTCGTAATTTCTAATAGTAAAATTATTATTTTAAGAAAATTAGTGTGCTTTCCGTCGCCAGTATATAATAGTTTCTAAATTTTTTTCTAAAATTTAAAAAAATAATTGAATAATTTTTATAATTCAAAACTTTAAAATCAGATTAAAAAATTGTATTCAATTAAATAATAATAAAAATAATTTCATAGTCAAAGAAAAAATTGTACGTGATAAGTATTAAAATTAATAAATAATAATTACACAAAATAGCACAAGTCAAAAAAAATTATTAATTTTAATAACTTAATTAATACTCATGTGAGTATAAAATAATTATATTAAAGTTTACACTTTTATTTTTATATTTATTTGACATTTATCTTAGAATTGATTAATTATATATATTTATTTATTTATATATGTGTATATATATATGTATGTATGTATGTATGTATATCAGTTAACTTATTGCATTGGGAAGAGGGGTAAGGATGATGACTGTGAACCAAAACAAAATCCAAAAGCTTTTTTTATTGTAATTGTGAATGCGTGCATGAACAGAAACGGGAGACCTCTTTCTTGGAAAAAACTGGTTCCGTCGCCGCCGCGGCAAGTCGCTTCTTTTCTTGTCTCGTTGGATTTATTTCTAGCCTAAAACTCGAAAACTCAACTGTCACGGCCTTGTTTGGCAAGATTTTCGTATTAGTTTGGGGAAAAAAGATTTCTACGAACAAAATCATATCATTGTTAATTCTAAAGGATACCCTCCTTTTTCTATTTCCCTTTCACATCAGCCAAGAAGCAGCATTAGATTATTTGATAGATAAATTAGGAAAAGTTACTTAGCCGGATCTCTGGGAAAATTTTGGAGGAATCAGGCTCACTTGTAAACTTAATTCCAAGTTACATTAAAAACAAAAATTTATCCAATTAAAGTTACTTTTATTTTTTTAACATACACATTTATATATAGCTTCTTTACGTATAATTTATCTCATTATCTCTCGTCGAACTCATAGTTCAAACCTTCGACCTTCTCGCTCAACTGTCGGCATATATAACTTTGTTACAAATATAATTTTACAAAGTTATAATCATTTTTCTACTCAATTACAAACAAATTCTATAATATGCAAATAATTTGGTTAGACCCTATTGAAACTATTCACTAATATTTGAGGTCATGTGTGATTTCAAATAATGCACAAATGATGTGTTAAAAATAAATTTAAATAGTATTTTAACCAATAAGTCACCTCAAGCAAAAATAAAGTTTCTATTGATAAATTATAAATATAATTACGTGTAGTTACAAATACAATAATGTGTAATTATAAACAAAATTTCATATAGTTACGAACAATAGTCCATTTGATTAAACCTATCCATGCACATTTGTGGTCATATTTGAAATCAAATAGTAGACAAAAAAATGATTTTAGAGGATTTTTGAGGGACTTAGAATTAGGGACTACCAATTGGAAAGTTTGGTTGTAAGAACGTTTATTTAGAGAGAGAGAGAGAGAGAGAGAGGTTACTGTAGCAGAGGGCCGTAGCGTGTTGGAGCCTGTTGTGGTACCTTACACTCTAAAATTAGCGCTATAGCATGTCATAACTTGTCATAGTGCACTACCCGCTGGAATTAGCATGCTATAGCGCACCAGAGTCCGCTACGGCGTGTTGCAGCTAATTTTGGCAATTTTTAGGATTTCCAAATCTTCCAAATACTCCTACATCTCTTAGGACATCTTGTATTATAACAATAAGATTTGGGGTCTTCTCCAATGTATCCAAATCATCTAAATTCAAGAAAGTTTCATTGAACACTCATCAAAAGCTTCTTGAAAAATAGTCAACAATCATCCTATGATTAGAGATTTCTACTTTGAATAAGAATCAACTATTCAGCAACCAATTCCAGCCTTTCTAGAGTAAAAAGTTGAAGACATTCTAGTAGTTCAAGAAAAATTGGTGTAAAAAAAGTTGGGTTTGTTTTAATTATTTGTTAGGGTTTAAAAAAGATTTTTTTATTCCAAGTTGTAAAACACTTTTGACTTTCATATTGGTTTGTAAATTAGTCTTTCTTTATTACTCATTGTTAATTAGATTTGAATCTTTTAAATATTGTTTTGTGATCCGTTTTCTAAATGTTGTTTGTACTTTGAAAAATTATAGATCATATTGTTAGTATTGAAGCATCGTTCCTTTCCTATGAATGGTGCAAAATAAATCTAGTTACAAAGTTATCAAAGAATCTCTATTAGTGTTGCAATCTCATCGCCGACTAGTTTAGAAATCTACTAACTAAATGGCCAACAACTACAATAACAACAAGAGTTCAACTCCAATAAACCATACTCTTGAAAAAAAAGTCAAAAAACTATCCAACAATATGTATCTCTCTATGTCAGGAATATAAAGTTAGATGAACGAATCTCAGAGATCAGGGGAAACCATTACCACTTCAATTGCTAAAATGGAAGAAGTATTTCACACATCGATTCTGTCTAACATTATCGAGCATGAAAGTGACGAAGAGGATAGCAATGACACAGAGGCTATTAATCTAGATAGGGAGTTGTTTAGATTAGAGATGTATGACGGTTCCATTGATCCTGAAATGTAAGATTCATGATTTAATCAATTAGAAACATATTTTATCCTGCAAAAATTTTTCAATACCCAAAAAGTAGTTTACATGTTTCTTAAGATGGCGGGGTGTGGCAAAATTTGGTGGAAGGTGATGGGTAAAAGCGGGGAGATTGAGAATATCACTTAAAAGTAGTTCAAGCGACTCATTCATTGAGAATTCTATCCTATGGGCTATGTAAATGAGCATTAGAATTGTTGGCATAGACTACATTAAAAGAAGGATTATACTGTACATGAATATACCACTGAATTTCAAAGGCAAGCGATGACGGTTGGGGTATCATTGTGGAATATAGCAACCTATACAAAATGCACTTCTAAACTTTAGAAAATGATCCAAGCAGAACTTAGTCTAATCTCAATCCATGATCTATCTAGAGTTAGCACAATCATTGTGGCTATTGAGCGGAAGAATCAGGTTGTGAAAAACAATAAGTCCAAATTCAAAAATACAAAGAGTAATTCAGTTTCTAATCTTTCTAAAACTAATAAGTATTATGGTCATTACCAAAAATCTGGACATGATGAACAAGGTTGTTGGAAAGTACGTCCAGAGTTGGCATTGAAAACAAATAACCGTGACAAGTGGACCATTGTTATTGTCATAGTCCAAAATGTCGTGGAAGTAGGGTACATGACTGAAATGGACCCGAGTTTGTCCTAGATGGTTCGACTGAAAGGGATAAATCGATATCATTACCACCGCCAAAGGTTAAAAAGGAGTTGTTTACAGTACAAGTACAGGTGAAAAATAAGGTCATCAACGCCATCTTTGATATGAGATGTGAGAAAACCTAATCTCCGAAAGTTTCATAGAGAGGTTGTGTTTGAAGGTGACAATACACCCTCGCCTTTACAACTTATGGTAGATCTACGATAATATGGATAGAAAGGTTGAGCGACAGTATAAAATCCGCTTTGCTATCACCGCGTAATTCATTAACGAGGTAGTATGCGAGATGATACCGGTTGACATATCTCACATCATCCTTGACAACCCTTACATATGGGAGAGAGTTGCCATTTATTATCGTCGAGAATAAAAGTATCAAGAAGGATGGTAAAATATTCATAATTTACAAGGATGCTTCAAAACAAGTTAGGGAGATGGTGGCAGCTAACACAAAACGGCGGTACCTCACAATAATAATCCAGCCACAAGAATCCATCTGTGGTAAAAATGAGTCAAACACTAGTATAAATCAACATAACACGGGTCAAAACCGGTACACGGGTCAAAAAGGCAAAGACAAAAGTCAAAAGCCCAGTGAAAATGTAAAGTCCACAAAGCCTAGCATTAGACTCCAAGGAAGCCCAAGCATAAGCAGAACATCTCACCTCAAATATTGAAACAGTCCACTACTTGCACCAATGAAGTTAAGAACCATTGGGATTTGGTTATCAATAATAAGAGAAGGTATGATCTAGGAGGATCTTTGAGAGGTTTAGGGTTTGAGACTACCTATTGAAAAGTTTAGGTATGAGAAGATTAAAAAAAAAAGTCACTATAGTAGGAGGTCGTAGCGTATTGGAGCTCGCCGTAGTGCCTTGCATTATGAAATAAGCGTGTTATAGCATGCCAAAGCCTGTCATAGCGTGCTACTCACTAGAATTAGCATACTATAGCGTGCCAAAGTCTGTTATAGCACGCAGTGGCTAATTTTTAGCAATTTTTAGGGTTTTCAATCCCTCCAAGGATTCCTACACCTCCTAAGAAGCGCACCAAAAACTTCTTAAAAGGCATTCGACAATCATTTTGTGATTAGAGATCTTCACTTTCAATAAAAATCAACCATTTAACCACCGATTCCAGTTATCTTAGGATAAAGAGTTGAAAACATTCTAGTAGTTTGAGATAAATTGGCACAAGAAAAATTGGGTTTGTCTTGATTATTTTTTAGGGTTTAAATAAGACTTTTTTATTCCATGATGTAAAGCACTTTGGGCTTTTATATTAGTTTGTAAATTAATTTTTTCCCATTACTCATTATTAATTAGATTTGGATCTTTTAAATACTATTTTGTAATACTTTTTTGAACATTATTTGCATTCCAAAAAATTAAAAACGATGAAATGTGTCAAAAAAAAAAACTAAATAGCATTTTAACCGCTAATTAAAATTGTGTAATTACAAATATAATGTTATGTAGTTAAAAAGAGAACTAATAGTAGTTACAAATAAGGTTTCCACTAATAAGTTGCAAACATAAAGTTGGGTAATTTCATATGGTTACAAAATGAAAGGAGATTCCCACGAATAGGTTACAAACATAAAGCTGATGAGTTACCAACATAAAATTATGTAGTCAAGCGGAGTTTCATGTAGTTATAAACAGTATTTTGTTACGAACAAAATTTTCATTGATTAGTTACAAACATAAAACTATTAAGATACAAATACAAAGTTATGTAATTACAAGCAACATTCTATATAATTACAAACAGAATTTTGTTACACAAAACAATCTGTAACCAGATTCTTTCTGAAAATTGTATCAATATTTGTTACATCATGCATAATTGCATTAGCATATACAGTTGTACTGAGGCAGACATTATTTCTCATCTCCACAAGCATTGACACGAACAGAAATCTACTTCGAGACTCACCTAAGCAAACATCAACGTCTCTGCATTTCCCCTCGATACAATTGTCAATATATCATCAGTACATATGAGGGAGAATAACAAAAAGCTTTATAGTCAAGGGGGAATGCCAACGGTGTTTTTGCCAGAAGTCAAAACTCCGGCAAGGACAAGGGGCAAGACTAAGTCACCCGGACACGAGAGAGGTTACGCTAGGCAGTCGGCATGATGGGTAAATGTCCGAATTATGGACTCGGACGAGGGAGGTGGAGACAGATTATATTTATATACACACACACACACACCCAAGAAAAATAAAATAATCTTTAATTGGGTAAAATTTTTGTTTTTAACTTTAGCTTGGAATTAAGTTTATAAGTGACTTGATTTGTCCAAAATATTTTCAAAAGATCCGGCTAAGTAATTTTCCCTAAACTATGCTGTAGACCCATAGAATACAAATAAAGAGCATGGGGTAATCATAAGGTTATTCGCAAATCATATAACGTGCTCGGTTCGGCACCTAATTACAAGGAATTGCAGAGAGAATAAAAAGTGAAGTGAGAACCGCTAGATGCGAAACGCCCGATGGCAGGATGTTGTCCCACACAAATTATCCTTGGGAGGATAATCAGTACGTCCAATCTCTTCCCAAACAAAAAATGGGATAATTAATCCAATTCTGTCCCTTCCCCCATATACCCTCAAACCAACATGCCCACAATCCACATAAAGCTGGAATAAATCACTACCATCATTTTTCTGAAACACGAATCTCAATTCGACTTCATCCCGCTTGGCTGCACGTTTTCAACAGCCCATCACTTGTTACCTGCTTTTCTTTTACCCTTGCTTTTAGAAACCAAAATTCTAAACATAACATCATTTTCAAGTTTCCCACTAGTATTTATAGAGATTGAATGATAAATAGTATTTTATATGTTACAAAGGGCGGGGCCGCTTTGATCCCTGCTGTCATCTGCCGTGGACAATGCCCCAAACAACAAAAGCATGAGCAAGGCTTCGCCTAAATTAATTTGAGACGATAAGACAAAGCATTCCCTTGACAAATTCCCCAAGCATTGTCCCAAGCCTCCATTGGAGGAATATCCAGAGATAATATTTACAAGAATGAAGCACAGTGCAACTGAATATGTTAAGTTATTGCTGCTTCATATGATCAGCCAGAGCACAAGATTTGCAGATCGGGCAGAGGTTTTTCATAGATAACCATGTCCTGATGCAGCCCACATGGAAATCGTGACGGCAGGTTTTCAATGTCCCAACATCGTCCATGTCCTTGTACTCTTCCTGTCGAACAGAACAGAGTTCAGAATAGTTAGGTTGCCTTTGATAACATTTATCTGTTTTCTCCTATCATGTTAGAAGAATACAAAAACCAGTTATATATTTATCTTTTATATTTCTCAATGGTTGGATCCGGAAAACAAAAACTTGTGGGAGAATGTGGGAGAATAAGTCTTGTAAACGAATGAAAGGAAATACGTAAGCAGAGATATTGTTTTCAAAAAAACTGTTGACAACAATTACCAAATTTTTGAAAGCATAAATAGTTTATATATCAAACAAGGTGATGCCGGTTTATAATCAGAAAACAAGCCCCATCAAACCATTACTTCCTATCAGACATTAATACCATCAAGAATAAGATAGCATTGTGAGCAAAATTAACGTGCCCAGCACCATGGTTCTATGAGATACTACTCTCAAAAGCCTTTTGCGTGAGTTTAAACTAGATTAGTTCTCACCAGGCATATTACGCATGTTCCTTCCTCTTGAAATTGATCTGAAGAACAATATATTGATTCAGTCAAACACTTCAAGATCATATCTTCAGACAGGCCTGTGCTAACATGTCCAATCCTTTCCCCTAATGCAAGCAGTTCCTGCTCACAAATATCAGATTAATTGAGAGCTAAAAGTAAGACGATAGAAGTACAAGTTCCATTTGGTAAGACCATTTTAGCCACACCATTTTTTTTTTTTTTTTTTTTATGGTTTGTATTGGCATATTGGAGAGAGAACAATCTACAGGGGAATTAAATACATTCCTATTTTGATTTTTCTTCCTCCAATAGGCAACAAAGAAGAACCCACTTTTGAACTAATACTAAATGGAGCCCTAATCAGAGAGCTAATCTGATATTAACCTCATAGCTCATATTGTCTATGTCTAGCCTCATGTCCCTATGCTGGTCGAGCAAACTTCTGGAATACAATGCTGATCGGTCCACAATCATAAGACCCTGCAAGACAAAATTTTACAGTCAATACAACAGGACAATGGAGGTAATCAAAATTCAATTTGAAGAAAAACCTTTAGCCTTACACAAAAGATACACATGTAACAAATAAACCTCTTTTCCAGAATACAAATGCATGGGCTAGAATATAAACATTACAGACAATAAAAGCCAAGAAGGGACTCCTAGCTGACATCAGCACTGTCCTTAGACCACCTATTGTATACAACTGATTTCAGATTTCAATAACATAAAATCAGGTGCATCATACTTGCTGCGGAACTAGAAATTACAAATTGTAGGCAAGCATCTTAGTTCGCATGGTGGTTCACCCGGCCCCCCGCCCAAGGGGGGGGGGTGGGGTGGGGAGATTAACTGCTCTATGAACTCTCTAAATCAAGTAATGGGCAATCAAATGTCCCCCACATGAACAGATGTTACAAGAAGGCCTACTTATTATTCCCTCCTCTCCTTGTTACTGCCCTTCCAACAAGAATAAATAATAATAATAATTCCTTTTCAAATTGGTGGTGGCTATCTCCAAATGTGACGTGAAGCTGGTCAAAGGCTCATTATTGCAACATTTGTAAAGGAACTAGTTCCTCTATTGATGGCTGAGAAATGAATTCCTTGTGAAGGACAAATACAAACCTCAGAAGACAATCGATCACGAAAACTGGCTTCCTCGGAAAGTGACTGGTATCTATCACTGGACCCCCTTGCTCTTCCACTCCGCTCACTGTTACGCCACCCTACAGTGGATAATCGCCTTGGATGTCTGGATGAATAACTTTCTGCTACTAGCTGCAACCCATCATCAGAAGCCACGGTATGTCCCAACCGCAAATTACTTGAAGAAGCTCCTCTAAAAGTTGGGGCAGACCTTTGTGTATAGCTGCTTCTAACACCCCTCACAGACTGGTTTGAAGTGCCTTGCAAATTTTGAGGCACAGGAGTTCTGCTTGACATGAAATCATTATGGAATTCCCCCATTTCTGTAGGAGCATTAGTATTACTGCTTCCTGTTATGAAGTGGTTCGCTTCAGGATTGAAAACATTGGCATCTGCAATTTGCAAACAACCTTGAGGTCAACAGAAAATATAGTGCATGCTGCATGGATATAAATTTTGATAGTGGAACGAACCTGGAAGTAGAATCCTCCCATGAGCAGCAGGAGAGACATGAATATGGTTCCACTCCTGTGCTGGAGCATTAGAACTCTGACCCATAAGCTCCACTGGCCCCGAATGCTCAACAGGATTGCCAGTTGTATAGGGATGCTGTGATGGAGTGATTGATAAGTGGGTCCTAGATAGGTTGGTTTCTAAATCAAGCGCAGCTCTGCTTCTCACATTTCTCAGAGTACCCTCACTTCCAATTGTAAGGTTGTTGCCTCTATAAGCAGAGCCAATGGCAGGACAGTCCCAAGATATACGATGAGAATCTGTATTGGGTTTCTCCTGCCATATGTCAGATGGTATGGGAATATCAGAGGAGCTTCCAGCTTCATAGTATCTACTTGAACTGCCTCTCTCACAGACAGCAGGTACACCAGGGCTTTTCCGCTTGTATGGCCCTCGCGCATTGCCCAAACCAACATCAATAAAACCACCCTCAGTCCCATGGAATGGCTGTCCACCATAATTTGACGAAGAGCCATGATGTGCATAATTTTCTGGGGCTACAGAGAAGCTTCCAGAAGCAGGTGGATACAAGAATGGATCACGAAGGGGGCCTGAAGCATCAGTTTGATAATGTGGCACTGGCACCTCAATATTGTGACTTGGGGAAGGAAACCCATTTGACCGTGGGGCAGGATTCCAGTGACAAGAATAATGTACACCATCAATGGACATATTTTCAACAGGATAAACAATAGAGCTGTTTTCAACAGCACCAGGCCTTACTGCAATGCAAAAGATGGAAGATCGCAAACATTAGTCCATATGAAGGATTTTATAGCACAAAACCATGACTTCTGTTTGTATGGGAGATACTGACCCAGCCACATGAAGGCGTGGGGAGGGTTTCATCTTTACATAAAGAAAGAGTTATCTAGCAAGTAAGAAGAGAACATATATCCTTTCACTCTTTTAAGCATCCCTTTCAAATGTAAAATACATGATGCAAGATTAGCAGACCACTAGATATCTCTGAAAAAAGCGAAATGGATATATAAAATCATTACCCATATGTCCATATGCTTGCTCTGGATGCATATGACTCCAACTCTGATCATTGTCAGCCTCAAACACTTGTGTTGTGTTGAATATATGTCTGTGCCCCATAAGTCAACTTAAAGTTATGAATAAGAAATCTTTTGGAGCTTCAAAGGGTGACAGAAAATGGTGACCTGCACATGATAAACATAATCCCCAGCAATCAAAATCATAATCATAACTGCAGATATATGTTCATGAAGTAGTCTAAGTTTAACCTTGTCATCAACGTAATATTTTATCACTACAAAGATGCAACATTGTAATAGGCCAATAAAATCAGACCCTGAAAAGTAATAGGAAAACATCCACACATCATTTGTCGCAAGCTGATAATTTAATGATACAGATACACTTAAAATAGAAATTTAATAAAAACCCCTGCAATATGATATACATATAACTTGTCAAATGTTATCAATCAAAATGCCAAAATACCCACCAAGCCATCCATCCATGTTACCCACTAAGCTTTATTGCACAAACATTAATCATGCCACCTGACAATATCTACCCTAATGCCCAATAATTTGAGTCATCATGATGACTTGTAAAATGGATCAGAATGCAGAAAACATGTTACAACAGCATGTCTTGTTTATCCTTTAAAGAGATCAATACCGACATTTATTTTAATATGTTGAAAACAAGAGGAAGGAAAGGACCAACAAGAGTGTTAGGGCTTAACAAGCACATATGTATACCAGTTAGGTGAAGCAGGAATAAATTATTCTAATGAATCCTGCATTGCCAAGTCACTCAGGTCCATTTTGTCACGTGCATCAGTCAATTCCTTACCCAAATGCTTTTTACAGGGAATCATAAGCTCCTAGTAAATGGAGGCTAATCATTCCATACACTCAAACCACCCAGAAATGGATCCAACAATGTCTACCAGGCTCCCAAATAATCCTCACTTCCAAATAAATAATATATATACATATATTTTCCATCTCACCAAATTATATAGTCACATGTGCATACATAAGTTAAAAAGGAAAGGAGAAGGAAAGTGCAACAACATATTTAAAGAACACACACATACCACAGCCATGAATTTGGGAACTCCATGGACTAGAGTTTAGAGAGAATGTCTAGTAAACAATTTTTCCCAAAAGCTGGAACTATCTAGGAATAGGAACCATAATAATTAGTCATCATAGGTGAGACCTTTCCTCATCTAACAAGAGTTCGCCATGAACCACAGGTCTACCATTTTAGGAGTCAAAGCCTCAACAATTCAGCACCAAAACCCACATAAACCCTTATTGAGGATCGTTCTTAAGTATACAAGGATCTGGACTCTGATGGCCACAAATTTCTCAGCCAACTCTATCACTATTTGCTCACATTACAAAAGCATTAGTCATAATAAAGATAGCCAGAAAGAGGGAAGTGAGATCTTTCCAATAAATATACTTTCCCTATCATAGAAAAAAAAAAAAGAAAGTGTTAGCACTATCATAGTCCAGCGTATAGCCCCAAAGACGAAGCATAATTTATTCACATATTCCAAAGAAATTAAGAGAATAATTAATCAGACTTTTACTGCCTTAATACAATTCAAGGAAGTCCCATATGAAGTAAAATGAATAGCTGAATTTATAAGTTCACCAATTTAATGTATTAAGCACTACCATTACCAACTTCATGACACACAAAGAAGCCACTAAATTTAGAAAGTATATCAACTTAATCTAATAAGCAGTGCTTATATTTATAGAAATTCTGTCAGCATCAAGGACACAAGCAAGAAATAAATTTGCGTTTATGCCCAAGTAAATACCGGTAATGATCAGCCATCAATATGCAACTTTAAGACAAAATCACAATCAAGTAGGCTGAAATAGGATTCCTTAATGGCATTTTAATCTCAATGAGGAGACCCAATTTGATGTATAAATATTAGTGAAGGAAGAGAACCTGGTAAGTATGACATATAACTGCATCCATTTAATCGATTTGTAAGCATTGTGCAACTACATCCTATTTACACAATATATATGAAGCAACAGTAATTTTTTCTTCAACAAAATAAGAGGAAAATGTAAGAACTGGAAGATTGTTGACTGAAGAATCATTACAAGGCGACGATTCTTCACTTTTGCAAGGAAATATAGACCAAAAGCCATAGATTTAGAAACAAAAAATTTCAAAAAAGAATCACAGGATTTGTGAACTCAGAAATACCAAGCAAAGAAGCTTGTCAGTTAAGAAACATGCTAAAATGTAACTAGGTTATCTAACAAATCCCAACAACTATGACAATTTCCCCCTGTATCAGGCGGACAGAAAATCCACCACCATTATACCCATAACAAACATTTAGATTAAAATAAAGGTGTTTTATTGTATTATCAACTACCATGAAGAAGTACATCAACCAGGGTGCATAACTGCATCAGCCTCATATGTCATCTTCAAAACATTAATAAAAGGGAAAAAATTAAATAGAAAAAAAGAAAAAATGCCAAGCCTTTGATCATGATTGTTCCCTTACTCTCTTTGAAAAATTGCATCTGTATGAGTAAAGATAACAATCAGCGAAATATTTATACAAAAAACAGAAGTTCAAGTGATTGCTACATAACAAGTCTGAACAAAATAAATTATCATCTTGAACAGTTCAGAGCAAGAGAACTAAAGTTCTTTGGCACAAGATCATTGCTACAGTAATCTGCAAGAGTTCCCAACCCATAGCACATTATTCACTAAACTGCAACTCCAAATATTGACTCAACCAAAATCTGCACCTTCCCAGCCCAGAGCGCCACAGCTCCAGCTTCCACTAGGTAATGATCTTGAAAGGCAAGCATAACGACTCACCAAATTGGCCATTTAACTAATCCTCCAGTCTTTGCAGTGCAAAAATATTGAATAAGGTGATTTACAAGTCATCTCCACACCAATTCCCCAGCTCATCAGAGCAGGAATAATACAAACTTCCAAGATCGAGAACAATGAGTAAATAAAAAATGTTTCAGAGCCATGGTCCAAGATATCTCCAAGGAAATTAGAGACTAGACAAAAGATATGAATTCTACCCTTCATTTCTTCTCACAGATGCCACTGACCACCAATTGTACTTAGAATGCCACATGACATCCATCATGAAAATCTCAGGATTCTAAAGTTTGTGAAAATCCTGAGGTAATCTGCAGTGGAATGATCAATTGTGAAACAAAAAAATCCCCAACATAAGGTTTAAAATCTCTCTGCAATTCTATCGTAGAAACTTCAGTCCCCTATGGTATGCTCCCCCAGGAAGGCCAAAGCATTAGACATTGCAACTGGGCAGATCACTATATTGGAAGTTGATGGGGACACCAATTTCAGATTCAGATCTGTTCGTCATTTGCCAATTTAACCAAAGGTGCCTGCAATACCATTTGCAATTTAGAGGGAGTTAACGAAACAACGCCAACTATTCTGTCCACCAAAGTTCGTGTCCTTTATATGGCTTGGGGCTCCAGAGTAATCAAGTTGCCAAAATTGACCTAAAACTAAAGATAAATATAGGAAGAAATAGAGGTTTTGTCACAACCCAAAGCCACACTAAGACACGACCAAAGAAAGATTTGCTCTAATTAAATTCTCAAGTGAACTGTGAACTAAAAAAAATAAGAATGAAACCCTTATAAGGTTAGAAGCCATGACTTCCCGAGACAAAAAAAGCACAGGAGGAGACAATGAGTATCAAGAATTCTCACCTGAAGATGAAATATGCCCTCATTCCAATACATTCATCACAAACTATAGCCAGTTACAGTCCTCCTACATTTCTAGGCCCATATCTCCATTTAGTAA